AAATGCTATCTTAAAAAAAGTTTACATTAAATATGTCTCGCGATTCTGCCAGATTTCTTATATGAGGCGTTCACATGAGGCGTTGGAGGTATTTACATTTTGATTATTAAGAGAACTGACGATGATAATATTGAATTGAACGTTTAAAGATTATTTAAATTTATAAATATATTATAATTTAATAAAAATATTAAATTGCAAATTTAAAGATTTTAAATAGAGGGAAAAATTTAAATAATATATTAAATATTATTGGAGAAGAAAGAGGGATGGGGGTGGGGGAAAAGATAGAAGAGAAGTAGAGTATGAGATATAATATTAAATATAGTGAAAAAAAAAATTAAATTAGTGATTTGAACGAAGAAACGAACAGAACAAAGATTAAGAACAAGGATAAAGATTAAAAATTAAGAATTGAAAAAAGAACTAAAAAAGAACCGAAAAAAATCATAAAATTTTACCAGTTCGGTTACGGTTTCAGTATTATAAGCTATACAAAATTTGAGTACGGTTTCGGTTTCGATTCACTAAAAAAAAAGAATTCCGAAACGATTTTCAGTTCCGATTTCGGTTCGGTCCACGATTATACATACGCCGCGCGCGCGCGATATTATCTATAGAAAAAATATATACTATATTTAACGTGTGAATGCGTGTGTGTGTGTGTGTGTGTGGGTGTGTGTGTGTGTGTGTGCGTGTGTGTGTGTGTGTGTGTGTGTGTGTGTGTGTGTGTGTGTGTGTGTACGTGTGTGTATTACCTTTGCCCAATATGTTGTTCGTCACATCTGCCATCGATGATTGTATAGTCGACTGAAAAATAAGTGACTGACCACAGCCATTGCTGATCCGGATATTGTAAAGTTGGTTTCAGCGAATATCGTATTCGTACCGAAGATTCTGTAGCTCTTTCGAATCGAAATTCTCCATGAAGGCCGCCAGAAGATACATATGCAGCGAGTCTAAGTGCACTTGCGGCAGTTGCTGAATGAAACAATATTATTATTTGTAATTTAATAAAATAAAGTCATCTATTATGGGATTGACTTTGAATATGAGATAGCGGAGTTTCTACTGAACTGATAAGCGCATGTGATTTGTTCTATGATGAATTTTTTGTTCTTAGAGTGACATTTATTTAATTAGAAAATTTATTATTAAATCATGCGTGTAATCGTTGCAAAAAAAGATTTGTAAAATTGGATATTGTCACATTTTATTAAAATTAGTCATTATAAATCAGGCTTATTCAATTTGAATTCCGATCAAAACGCAAATCGAAAAAAATTCGCAAAAAATTCAATGTGAATAAGATTTCATGAAATGTAAAATGATACGCGTCTGAGCAACCCTTATCAGTCACTTTAATGTCTTCGAAATCTTACCTATTTTTAATTTTTTTGCATCGATGGCTTTGCGTTTTGGAATTGAAATTAGACAGGCGCTTACTTTTAAATGTTGTTTTATGATATAAAAGTAAATATTTAGTAATAAAGTGATAGAGTAAGATCATATTGATAGGAAAATATGTGATTATATGAAGGAGTGGCGTAGGCAAGGGGAGGAGGGCTGTGAGAACTGCAACCCCCCTCTCCCCTCCCCCGAAATTCTGAATAATTTCAATAATTTCATAAGAATGTGTAAAAAATTGTTGAGCCGTAAATATTTGTGAGAGGAAATTAAATCTTATTGGGATATGTTGGCGCTTATCAGAGTGTGTGTGACTCAGCGGGCTTGATATCAGCCCGTTGGCTTTGTTGCGTATTAGCGACGTGTCGTGTCGCTGATGAGGCCCACCGAAGGGGAGGGCATACGCGCGACTATGCTGCCTGCGTGTAAACCGCCGCGCTTCTCAAATGGTTTTTTAGAAGATTCCGTGTGCGACCTCCTCGCGAATAACACGTGCACAAGTTTTATTATTTTATAATGTATGACGCGAGTGTAATTCAAGTATAATAAAAAGATGTCTTATATCAAGGTAGAGTATATTTCATAGAGTATATTTTTTTTATCACACACTGCCAATACCGACACGGACAAGCCACAAGGCAGGAGACACAGATCTCAGATAAGGAGAAAATAGCGCTCCACATAGCGCAACGGGAACACCAAGATCCTCTCCCTAATAGGATAGTTCTAATATTTAATTTAGTTACAAAAATATAAATATATAAATGTTTATATTATGTATTAAAAATATATTTGTTGATTTTCGTATTTCGCACGTAAACAAAAATTCGATAAATTACACGGAAAAAAATGTTACTGCTAATACAATCACAAAAAGTGGTGTCGGGAGAACGGCAGCACTTCAACTCACGAAATTTCAGCCGAATATTAATATTTATTATTCAAATTTTTATACTAAAATCTTTGACATATTCTGCAACTTATAGAGCTATTTCGAAATTTTTGAAGCACTTTACAATAAAATGACGATTTTTAATAATATTATATTTTGTCGAGTTTAGTGAATTTTTTTTTCAAACGTTAAAGACAATTATTAATGACAATTAATACTACATTGTAATGCTACATTTATATGAATGCTACATTTTTTAATTAAAAATTCGTAATAATACGACTTTAACGTTTAAAAAAAAAATTTACTAAACTCGACAAAATATTATTAAAAATCTGTCATTTTATTGTAAAGCACTTCGAAAATTTCGGAATAGCTCTACAAGTATTAGAATATGTCAAAGATTATTGTGTAAAAATTTGAATAACAAATATTAATATCCAACTGTGAGATTTCGCGAGTTAAAGAGTGCTGCCGTTCTCCCAATACCACTTTTCTAATTATACGCCAATATTCTAATTAAAGAAACATATTTGTCAACTAATAAATAAAAATAAAATTAAAATTAAAAAGAATATCATGAAATTCCGAACAATCGGTAAATAAATTGTTCGCAAGTATTGGGAGTACAAATTAGTTCGGTCCGTTTTCCAAAAAAAAAAATGGCTCCAGTTGTTGTGAATGGTTCATAGTGACAGCTGATTTTGGCATTTTCAGAGAGGTTAGACATCTGCTAATAATATTCAGTTTATATCGCTTTGAGTTTCATACAAAAACCTTGATTTTTACTGTATTTGAAATGTCGAATTTTGTATTAACCAAGCAGCATTTGCGGGAGGTTCTAATTTTCTGCTTTAATTCGAAGAAAAGTGCAGCTGAAGCCCATCGAATGCTTGTCGAAGTTTATGGTGACACTGCTCCAACTGATAAATCATGTAGGGAATGGTTTTCGACGTTTCAAGGATGGAGATTTCAGCGTTGAAGACAAACCTCGCTCTGGACAGCCAAAAAAATTCGAAGACAAAGAATTAGAGGCATTACTCGAAGAAGATCAGAGTCAAACGCAAGAGGAGCTTGCAGAACACATTGGGAGTAACACAAGCCGTTTCTGCACGATTGAGAACCATGGGAATAATTCAAAAACAAGGAAATTGGGTGCCTTATGAACCGAAATCGAGAGATGTTGAAAGGCGATTTTTCACTTGCGAACAGCTGATTCAAAGACAACAAAGAAAAGATTTTTTTGCATCGGATTGTGACTGGAGATGAGAAGTGGATATTCTACGACAATTCCAAGAAGAAAAAAATACTACGTTAAGCCCGGTTAATCGTTGCCATCGACCTCAAACATCAACACTAAAGCCGAACATTCATGGTTCGAAGATCATGCTCTGTATCTGGTGGGACCAAAAGGATATTGTCTTACTATCAGCTGCTGAAATCGGGCGATTCCATTACGGGCGATCGGTATCGGCTACAATTAATTCGTTTGAGCCGTGCATTGCGAAAAAAACGGCCGGAATACGAGCAAAGACATGATAAAGTTATTCTTCTTCATGACAACGCTCGGCCTCATGTCGCAAAAGTCGTAAAAAAACATTTGGAAACGCTCAAATGGGATGTTGTACCGCACCTGTCTTCTCCGGACATTGCTCTTTCTGATTATTGGTTGTTCCGAAGGATGCGATTTGGCAAATCATCAGTTCACTTCTTTCGCAGAAATCGAAAATTGGCTCCAAAATTGGATCGTCTCCAAAGACGAGTCATTTTTTCGAGATGGAATTCTGAGAGATGGGAAAAAGTAGTAGCCAGCGATGGACAATACTTTAATTAATCTGTTCATTCATTTTGTTTTGAAATAAATGCATTTTTGAACACAAAAAACAGACCGAACTAATTTGTACTCCCAATAATTCATGGTCTCCGTAAGGCATTCATCATATTGCTATATAAATTGGATAACTTTTATCACGATTTTTCTATGACGATGGACATGAATTTTAAGATTGTGAATTTTGTTTTATCTGAGGATAGCTCAATCCAAGAACCGAAATATGTAATGTAATGTGTTTTACAATTTGTTATTTATAGAATATTTTTTATACATTTTATATATCATATTACAGTTCTTGCATTTATAATTAATTACATTGACATCTTATATGCTATACTTCTTTGTGTTGTCTTTTACAAAAATATAAAAAAAATTAAAAAATTAAAAAGTTAAATACAAAAAAATTAAATAATTAAATATAAAAATATAAAAAAAAATTAAAAAATTAAAAATTATAAAAAAATACGAAAAATCTCTACAATGATCACAACCTTGTGATCATTGTAGAGATTACTCGCGGTGTAAAGGCTTCAGCTTATTGGCGACTAATGTGATCAAATTGATGTACAAAATGTTATATAAATCAACACTAATTACATTTTTATTTAACGTTTTAAACGAAACTTTTTTTATTTATGCTTACCAAATGTGTCACTAGTATAAAAAAGAACTTTAAAAAAAAACTGATTTCTACAGCACCTCCCGAAACATTTTTCTCACTACGCCACTGATGTAATGATTTGTTTAATTGTAAAGATTAGATTTGGTCATTGTGAAACTGCAAGACGTAGAAGTCGTAATACAATATAAAATACTCAGAATATTCTTAACATGAAATAACCTACGCTCAAATTGCATGGTATTTGTGAGAAAATGGTCGCGTATACGCGAAGAAGGAAAATATATATTATATGGGAATAAGTTCCGCCCATTGCAGAAAGATGTCGTTAGTAGCATTGCTCGTGTGTTTGATAGAACGGCAAGACATGTTTTTGAAAGGTGTGTGTCCAAACTTTTGAGCTCAATAGATGGCATTCGTTCGAAGCGTAACAAAGAATAACTTTTTTTGCGTTGAAGATGTCGGAATTTATTCTAAAAAAGCAACATTTGCGGGAAGTTTTACTCCATTATTTTATTTTAAAGAAAAGTGCTGCGGAAACGCATCGTTTGCTCGTAGATATTTACGGTGAGCATGCTCCATCGAAAAGTTGTAAAGAATGATTTTGGCGATTCAACAGTGATGATTTTGACGTGCGTAACAAAGAACGCGAAGGTGCACCGAAAAAATTTGAAGATGCAGAATTGCAAGCACTACTCGAAGAAGATTCGTGTTTATCGCTCGATAGGTTGGCAAAAGAGTTAAATGTTGATAGATCCACTGTTGGAAAACGTCTACACGCAATGGGAATGGTGCAAAAAGAAGGAAATTGGGTGCCATACAAATTGAAAGAGAGAGACATGGAAAGACGTTTGGTCATCTGCGAGATGCTTCGTCAATGACAACAAAGGAAGGGTTTTCTACATCGTATCGTAACTGGCGATGAAAAATGGATCTACTACGATAACCCTTGAAACGCTTGAAGGCATGGGTGATGCCAGGTGAACCAGGTCCATCAACACCAAAACGAAATATCCATGCTTCGAAGATTATGTTGTGCATCTGGTGGAATCAAAGAGGTATTATATATTATGAGCTGCTCAAACCATCCGAAACCATCACTGGCGAGATCTTTATCGGCTACAACTGATACGTTTAAACCAAGCTTTGAAAGAAAAACGACCGGAATGGGACAATAGCCATAACAAGCTGATTTTGTTACATGATAACGCTAGGCCACACGTTGCAAA